ATCAGCAGTTTATTTCAGTACATCTGCCTGTTCTGCTCCCCACTCTGTCTCTGGTGAATCCTCTCACCGCCCCTGTACCTCTGCCCTATACCACAGTTCGGTATGCAAAAGTAAATAAATCTTTTTTTTTTTTAAAGTGACTTATGCAGGTACAAGAGGTCCTCAGTAAGACGATTAATGTGGGCGTCTGGGGTGGCTCAAGTATCTCAGTGCTATCAAGCTATCGCCAGCCACTGCCGCATCCCTGGCCAGGGAGCTGACCTACATGGTGTAACAGACCTCTCCTGTCTCACTCACTGCTCCTCTCAGCAGTGTATTTCAGTAGACCAACCTGTTCTGTTTCCCACTGTCTCTGGTGAGTCCTCTCACAACCCCTGCACCTCTGGCCTCTTTCTCAGTTCTGAATGCATACATAAATAAATATTGGGGGAAAAAAATCAGTTCCTTATATCTTTAAAAAAATAATTTTATGTGCTGAGGTTTAAATCCATCAATTTAAATGTGTTATAACTTTTGGTTATTACATATAATACCAATAGTAACACATACAAACATATAAATAGAAAGAAAGACATAGGCAGCTAGATAGTAGATACCTAAAGAAAGAAAATTTTTTAGATGTCCTAAACATCAATCATGCTATTATTTTCAAGTGTCTCCAGAAAAGAATCAATGTGCTGTTATATAGTTCCTGCTCTTATTCTCTTAAAACACCAACGATAAAACAAATATTTGAACACCTACAAAATAGAGAACAAAATTTTATAAACAAAATTCAATCAATTATACATACAGGAAGTAATACAAGGAACCAATAAAAAGGTGATTTGATAAAAGCAGTTATAGTTGAGAAAGCCCTTAAAGGATGTAAAAACTTTCATCACAGACAGAACAGGGGTGTGGAGATGAGTTAATTTTCAAAACTGTTACTTTTTAATATCCCTAATCTACATCTACAACAGCCTTTTAAATACTTTGCTATAGGGTATAGTAAAACACCTATTTGCTTATCTGAAATTTACATGTCAGACTCTAACTTCCCTAATGAAGTCCAACTGGCTCTAACTGCCCACCTCACCACTCACTTGAACTGCTACCAGGGGAATTTCCCCATGAACAAATTTTTACTTATTCAGGTTTTCCTATCAAAATGAATAAAACTAGCATCCATTGAAAGTTGTTCAATTCTCTGATTCATTTCACAAAACAACAAATTGGTATGGTTGAATACATATACAAAAGAAATTTGAATTCTATCCATTCCTAGTCTAGATCATCATTTCGCACTTCCATTACTTAGTTTTTAGACATTCTTAGTTTTTAGATACTCGGTGCAGTTCATTCTTTAAGTATGGGTCAAAATAGTCTTCCTAAAATATGTTATCCACCTAAAATCCACTACCTTTAACCTAAAATATGTTATCCACCTAAAATCCACTACCTTTAACCCAAATTATTTTGGGATGAATTCGTTTCTTTGTATGCAAATTAGTTTCAATCACTAAGAGACAAGTGTAAGCAGTTGCTGAAATGCTGACAAAGGAGCATGTTTTTGTTTTCGGTATTACTTTCTATTTGTTTCTCTTTTTTAAATAAAATAACAGATGTCCAAAAGTATTTCATCTTGAATTTGGACTCTGAAAGCCAGATTGCCTGAATTTAAATCCTAGTTCTGCCACAAAGTAAGTAATCATCAGGAAATAAAGATTCTCTGGGCATCATTTCCCTTATTTGTAAATTAGAAATATCAGTACTTAGGGAAAGACAGGGAATAAATGTGTAATGTAAATCAAGTGTTAGAAATGACCATGTGGGCCCTCCCTTGTGGCGCAATGGGTTAAAGCCCAGCACTATGAAGCTAGCCACAGCCACTTCAGCATGAGTTCAATCCCCAGCCAGGGGGGTGACCCACATGGTGCAGCAGTCGTCTCCTGTCTTGCCCGCTGCTCCCCTCAACAGTGTACTTCATTAATCTACCTGTTCTGCTCCCCACTCTGTCCCTGGTGAATCCTCTCACCACCCCTGCACCTCTTGCCTGTACCCCAGTTCTCCATGTATGATAAAATAAATCTTTTAAATAAGCATGCAAGTCTGTGAAGGTTATTAATGCTGTGGTTACCACCACATGTAATTTTCATTAACGATATTAACTGTATTGTTGGCACACCAAATGTACCATATAGACAAGATACATTAATAAACAAAACAACATTTTCTGCTCTGATGGAGCTTGCAATCTAGTCTAAGAAGCAGACTGATGTAACAGAAACCTCACAATATACAATCTATTGGGGCTACTGTAGTGATGGAGGAAGTCAATAGTTATGGGGTCATATAGAGATAGAAAACTGTGAGAACCTGGGGAACTGCCATGGCCTAGTGCTGACAACTGAGGTGCTGACTTAGACTTCTAAAAGGAGTCCTCTGGTCACTGTGCTAAGAACAATACACAGGAAGACAATGGTGGAAGCAGCAGACAGAAGGGAATATAATTATCCAAGTGGGAAGCAATGATCCATAATAAGGGAAATGAAAGCACCAAATTGCTACATAAAGTCTGCTCATTCCTGTGGTATGTATTTGAGCTACATATTTTCCTAATTTAAAATATACATTTATTACATTTTTACCCACAAGGGCTTGTGATAATATTTCCTGTCAAGATCAAGGTGGCAGCTTCTGCATGCATTTACTTTGTTGCCAATCCATTTCCCTATGCCCTATGACTCTTCCTCTTTTTGTCTGCCATGTGTACTTCAACATGTGCAAGTGGTCTGGTGCCTAAAGAAGGCTGTCAATGGCCAGGGAAAGGATTCTGGTGCATTCTGTCATTTCTTTCTGTGTTTGACAAAAGTTGACTTTTAACTATTTCCTGAATAAAACGCCTTAAATATTAACTTGAAAACTGCTTGTGATATTCCAGATGGTGCAAATGTCAGGTAGTAAAATTATCATTTTTAAAAATAAACTACAGACTTCTCTATAAGCTGGGAAATGTTTTTACTGACCCCCCGCCCATAATAAAAGGCTATCAAGCAGATGCCCAACATCTATCAAAAGCTTTTGCCAGAACAAGGAATGAATGAGAAATACCTAGTGCCAACTTGAAGGTGCTAATAAGGACTGTGTGATGTGTGATGAAAGGCATTTCTTCTTTCAATTATTGGAAAATCACACAGGAATGTCTTTAACTATGAATGTGACCAACTGTACTAGACATCATTAAATCTGACAATTCCCCACATTAAAAACATATCAAAATATAAGATGCATATTTCTGTAGACTGCAACTTGCCTTCCACTCATTTGTTATCCTCTCAGCATTGCTGCCCTAAATCCACCATCTAACTCCATACACTCACAAACTAGCTACTCCCCTCCCTCACCCAACGTATCTTCTACTTTTCTTCCTATCCTTCCTACCACTAACCTTTCTAGTTTATCTCAAGTTTCTGAAACAGAGTGTCTGTCTCCCATGGAGCGTATTTTCCTCAGAAACTGTTTTATTGATCTTATTCACTAGTGCTCAGGTTGGTGAATACACAAAATTTTACTTAAGAACTAATTAGATACAAAGCATCAAGTTAGCTACAAAATTGAACAGATACTGAAAATGTAGAAAGACTCAACACAGGACATAGGAAGAGGAATTAGCTGCATGTAGGCATGGCCCATCTCAATTGGATACAGGAAATATCCTAAAACTGCATCATCCATAAACAACTAAGTTAATTTGCTAAAAAAAAAAATCATTCAATTGTATCCTTTAAATGGCTAAGTTTTACAGAGTGCATATTACAACTTCAAAGAAAGCTGACCTCTCCCCGCCCACGCCCCAAAAGAGGAGGATACAGACCCTGATGTTTCTGGTTTGGAAAAAAATGTTATAATTATTAATCTAGTCACTCTAATACTAAATAGGTAAATGAGGTTCTTACAGTTTAATATTCATTTACTATAGTTGATCACTTTTAGGTGCTCACAGATTAACCAGGTTTATAAAGTCACTAATCACTAAGCCTGTAGAAAACAGGAAGCTGTATCACAAATATGGCTATTACTATTCAACATGCCAATCTGTTCTTGAAGTAGTTAGTTATTAATCTGGGCATGCCATGATTCCTATTTAGACTGTAACCAATGTGGGGAAAGAATAAAGCATAGATTAGCATACTCACCAATTCTAGCAAATGCACACACATAAGCATCACATGTAAGAGCAACAAAACCTTTACATCAGTGTGCCAGGAACAATGACAACTAAAAAGTATTAAGATAGGGCCCTCCCAGGTGGCACAATGGTCAAAGCACAGCACTAAAAGCTAAAGCCACTTCAGCATGAGTTAGATCCCCACCCTAGAAATGATACACATGGCGCAGCAGACCTCTCCTAACCCGCCTGCTACTCCCCTCAGCAGTGTACTTCGTCAGTTGGCCTGTTCTGCTCCCCACTCTGTCTCTGGTGAATCCTCTCACCACCCCTGCCTGCACCCCAGTTTTGTATACATAAATAAATCTTAAAAAAAAACAAAAAACAGTGCCACAACAAACATTATAGAGCACATAGGTATTTGGGGATCGATGGTTTTTTGTTTTCTGGATAAAAAACATGTAAGGGGACCCTCCCTGTTGGCGCAGCGGGTTAAAGCACTGCACTGAGAAACTAAAGCCACTTCCGCATGAGTTCGATCCCCGCCTGCCCCGGAGGTGACCACATGGCGCGGCAGACCTCTCCTGACCCACCCGCTGCTCCCCTCAGCAGTGTACTTCGTGGATCTGCCTGTTCTGCTTCCCGCTCTGTCTCTGGTGAATCCTCTCACCCTCCACATCTCTGGCCTGTACCCCAGTTCTGTACAAATAAATAGGTAAATCTTTTAAAAAAAAAAAAAAAAACATGTAAGAATGTGTCTTCCGATCTCTTTTTAGAAGCATCAACATTTTTCTAATTTTTTTACAGTAAATATTTGAGCACTGCTGTGATTAATCTTGAACTGAATTACCTGACTCAAAGTTGGGATGGAACTTGTCTGAGAAGTGGTTTGAGATATGGGACCATTCATCTGTAAAATTGAAAACATCAAATATCCCATCACTACAATGTATAGTATAGAAACATGTTTTCAAATTACAGTAATACAAAACAAAACTCACTAAGGAAAGCACATTTTTTAATGTTCTCATGTGAACTATTCAGAATTTTAGAAATTTGGTGAAATAAGTAATTAGAATACTGAAACCCTAAAATTTAAAAGATTCTGAAATTGACTGAATACCATAAATTCTTTGTAGTTTCAAAGGATGAAATTAAGAAAATATGCTTTTCCTAAAGTCATTTATAAACTTTAAATAATATTGCTTAACATGACAAAATCTTATAATAAATGTAGTTTAATATTTTAAATTATATTAAGATCATAATTCTTTAAACACACAGCACTATAATGACCATAACATTAAAGTATAAATTACTGCATTCCTGATTTATAATTCAAAGCTTTGGGCCCTCCCTGGTGGCACAATAGGTTAAAACATAGCACCATGGCCCTCCCTGGTGGCGCAGCGGGTTAAAGCACAGCACTGAGAATCTGAAGCCACTTCCGCATGAGTTCGATTCCCGCCTGCCCCGGAGGTGACCACATGGTGTGGCAAACCTCCCCTGTCCTGCCTGCTGCTCCCCCAGCAGTGTGTTTCAGTAAATCTGCCTGCTCTGCAATCCACTGTCTCTGATGAATCCTCTTACTCCCCATAACGTTGGCCTGTACCCTGTTCTTGTATGAATAAATAAATCTTTAAAAAAAAAATTCAAAGACTGAAGGACCTAAACCTATGACTAACATCTATTTTCTCTACCATTTACTGCTACTTATACTACTGATAAATTGATTTAGAGTATAGTATGTATATATTCAGGTCATAAAATATGTGAACACTGTAACATTTCTACTTATTAAATCCAATGTAAAATCTTTTATCAGATAAAGAGAAGAGATGTATGCCAGGGATTCTGGCCTGGATGGATACTCACCAGATGAGCACCACCTTTCCCTTCCTGGACGCGCTGGCCCTGCGGTTCAGCCACGACCTTAGCGTCCTGATCAGAAGTCATGAGCTGTTTACTTTGTGGCTACACTGGGAGAAGTCTGATGTTGACTGTGGTATGCTGTGAAATGACAAAGGCAATAAATAAGTAAACAATAAATAGGTAAAATAGGTGAAGAGCATAACTGATTCTTAGAATGAAATTAAGTGTTAAAATCTTTAAGGTATTCTAAGACATGTTTATCACTCTGGATCTAAACTGTTTAAAGAAATCTGTTCCCAAAATAAATCTATCCATTGGGGCTCTCCCTGGTGGCACAACGGAATAAAGCACTGCATTATGAAGCTCTCAGAAGCCACTGCAGCATAAGTTTGAACCCCCGCCAGGGAGCTAACCCACATGGCGTGGCAGACCTCTCCTGACCCACCTGCTGCTCCCCTCAGCAGTATATTAGTAGATCTGCCTGTTCTGCTCCCCACTCTGTCTCTGGTGAATCTTCTCACCCACCACACCTCTGGCCTGCACCCCAGTTCTGTAAGCATAAATAAATCTTTAAAAAAAATAAATCTATCCATATTTTACATCTGATTCACCCAAGAAACAATTTTTTTTAAGTTCTCTCTTCACGCTAATTTAACGACCATGTGCTCACACACACACAAACCCACTCATGCCCAGAAAAATTCACTAAAATTTCAAAATTAATTTGGAAGTTAATGAATCCCAGGTCAATCTGATCAATTAATCCATCCATCTGCCTGCCCACCCTCCTGCTAACCTAGCTACCTACCTATCCACACACACACACACACACACCTATTGTTCCCATTAATTTCATTTTGTTCCAGGACAAGAGGTGTCAGGAGAATTAATTAGTGAGAAGGAATTCCTTCAGAGCCCAAAACCAGACATTGAGAATAGTCACAAGTATAGCAAAGCTAAACAGTCAGACATGAATTCAAACAATATCTCAAACAGCTTAAGCAGTTAACTATGATCCAGAAGGGATGAGAAGTTTCATGATTCTGAATCATGTCAGAACCAGGGCTCCTGGACATCTGCTCATCACTGCAAGCTACACAGACAGCATCACAACAAAATAAAGAAACTAGACTGAGGTCCCTCCTGGTGGCACAGAAGGTAAAAGTGCAACAATGCAAGTGAGTCACAGCAGCTTCAGTTGGAGTTTGATCCCCAGGCCCAGAGGTCTGGTGCAGCAGACCTCTCCTGTCTCACCCACTGCTCCCCTCAGCGGTGTACTTCATCAATCTGCCTGTTCTGCTCCCCACTCTGTCTTTGGTGAATCCTCTCACTGCCCCTGTGCCTCTGGCCTGTACCCCAGTTCTATACTAATAAACAAATCTTTAAAAAAAAGAGACTGAACCCAAGTATTTTTCAAGCTCTTCTGAAACATACATAGTGCATAAGTGTCCATAAACAACATGTGGGTTTTAGTTTCTCTAACAGCACTTTCCATCACCTACATACAATAAATTCTCATAGCTCTTATTAATGAAATAATATGATTAAAAGCAATCTTATCCAACTCTCAAAAGTACACCGCCAATCACAAAAGCATAAAATCACTTCAGTGCTATTAAGTTTTAGAAATGTAAACAGAAAGCAGCCCAAATGCCCAAAAGTAGATGACTGGATAAAAAAGATGTGGTAGGCCCTCCCTGGTGGCGCAGCGGGTTAAAGCACTGCACTAAGAAGCTAAGCCACTTCCACATGAGTTCGATTCCCGCCTGCCCCGGAGGCGACCACATGGTGAGGCAGACCTCCCCTGACCCGCCCGCTGCTCCCCTCAGCAGTGTACTTCGTAGATCTGCCTGTTCTGCTTCCCGCTCTGTCTCTGGTGAATCCTCTCACCCTCTGCATCTCTGGCCTGTAGCCCAGTTCTGTACGAATAAATAAATAAATCTTTAAAAAAAAAATAAAAGTAAAAATAAAAAAAGATGTGGTACATATATACAATGGAATATTACTCAGCAACCAAAAAAGAGAAACACATGTCTTTTGTGGCAACTTGGATGGAGCTGGAAAAGATCATGCTTAGTGAGATAAGCCAGAAAGAGAAAGAAAAATACCGGATGGTTTCACTCATAGCAGGAGTATAATGGACCAGGCGAGAAAATAACAAAAATAATGAACAACGATATACCAGACAACATTCTGTGGGGGTGGAGTGGGGAATAGGATCAAAAATGGGGGGGCGGGGGGGATGCACGGGATTATGGTGATGGCACACGGGTGACTTGGTGATGGAAAACCCGTGGGGATTACAATCAAGATGGAAAAAAAAATGTACAAAATGATGTAAAAATAAACTTTTGTAATAAAAAAAGAAATGTAAACAGAAACTAGCTTAAAACAAATCAGTTCACAGGGGACAATGTTTCTGAAGATGTAGGCTGACTGACATTTTAAATTGATAATAGCTATGTATTTTAATGTGCATGTTATCTGGTTTTAATTTTTTTCCTTTAGAAGTCTAAGACTCCCCATTTTAGGTGTTGCTGCCACTGTACAACGACCACTAATATGCATATTATGTTTCCATGGTCAATATAATATGTATGATGCCTATCTTCTTCAGTGCTGACAATGAATTTTTAAAGAATTAGGGGACACCAGGCCTCAGAAGAACTTAATGATAATGGTAGAAACTGTAATTTTGTCATCCAGACTGCTGGAGATTTTAAAATCTATACAGCTGATTCTTAAATTATCTGAATAAATAAACACCTCCAATTCCCTCAAGCAATTCTGAATCAACATACAGGACTTATTACAAGACAATGGATGGGGGTACAAAGTCACTAAATACCAATTCTTTTCTTTTTTAAAAAGAGTATCAATTCTGGGCCCTCCCTGGTGGCGCAGCGGGTTAAAGCACTGCACTGAGAAGCTAAAGCCACTTCCGCATGAGTTCGATCCCCACCTGCCCCGGAGGCGACCGCAAGGCGGCAGACCTCTCCTGACCCGCCCACTGCTCCCCTCAGCAGTGTACTTCGTTGATCTGTCTGTTCTGCTCCCCACTCTGTCTCTGGTGAAGTCTCTCACTGCCCCTGAGTCTCTGGCCTGTACCCCAGTTCTGTATGTACAAATAAATAAATCTTAAAAAAAAAAAAAAGAGTATCAATTCTTACAAAATTACCAAATCCAAAAAAATAAAGATTGGTACCCAGACTAGCAAGCCACAGAAAGGACTGCAGATATTTTTGCTACCATTAACTCTAGATTATTAAGACTCAAAGAAAATAACTTGAAGACGATAAAAAAAATAATCAATTAAAAGAGCTCTTTAAGATTCTGTAAGGCAAAAGAGACATTCACCAAAAAAAAACCATTCTGATAGGAAGAAAATGTTTGAACACAATACTAATGATAAAGAACTGATCACGACAATCTACAAAGAGCTGATGATACTCAACAAAAATGAAGTAAACAACCCCATCAAAAAATGGGCAGAAGAGCTAAAAAGACATTTTTCCAAAGAGGAAATGCAGACAGCCAACAGGCATATAAAAAAAATGTTCAACATCACTTATAATAAGGGATATGCAAATCAAAGCTACAATGAAATACCATCTCACAATAGTGAGAATGGCACATTATTTAAAAATAACTACCAACAACATGTTGGTGAGGATGTGGAGAAAAAGGAACTCTCCTACACACTACTGGTGGGAATGCAAGCTGGTCCAACTACTATGGAAAGCTGCTTGAGTTTTCTCAAACTGCTAAAAATGGGTCTTCTCTATATGTTCCAGCAATTCCACTCTTAGCTATCTACCCAAAGCACACAAAAACATTAATTCAAAAGAATACCTGCACCCCTATGTTTACTGCTGCACTGTTTACAACAGGGAAGATGTGGAATCAACCCATATATCCAAAAATAGATGTGGATCGAGAAAATGTGGTGTATATGCACAATGGAATATTACTCAACAATCAAAAAAGATAAACTCACGCCATTTGTGAAAACATAGCTGGAGCTGGAAGGGATCATACTTAGTGAAATAAGCCAGGAAGAGGAAGAAAAATACTGGGTAGAGTCCATTTTGGGGGCGCAATGGGTTAAAGCGCAGCACTACAAAGCTAGCCACAGCCATAAAAGTCTGATACATGGTCAGGGAAGTGACCCACATGAAGCAGCAGACCTCTCCTGTTTTATCTGCTGCTCCTCTTAGCAGTGTACTTCAGCAATTTGCCTGTTCTGCTTCCCCCCCATCTCTGGTGAATCCTCTCACCTCCCCTTCATCTGTGGCCAGTATCCCAATTCTGTATGCATAAATAAATTCTTAAAAAAGAAAAATACCAGATGGTTTCACTCATAACAGCAATGTTAGGGATGGGGGCGGGGGCGGGGAGTAATTGTAATAAAGTAAAACTAAAATAAAAACTATAAACCAGAGACATTCTACTGTGGGCTAAGAAGAACAGGATCAAAACAGGGCTGGGAAAAACACATGGGACTATGGTGAGGGTACATGGTGAACTGGTGGTGGAAACTCCATGGAGGTTGCAACTTAGATGAAAAAGCATACATTCTACAAAAATGAAGAATGTTGTTAGGGACCTCTCTGGTGGCACAACAAGTTAGAGCATAGAACTATAAAGCAATCCACAGCCACTGTAGCATGAGTTGCCAGCCAGGGAAGTGACCCAGACGGTGTGACAGACCTCTCCTGACACACCTGCTTCTCCCCTCAGCAGTGTACTACAGTACATCTGCCTGTTCTACTCCCACCCTGTTTCTGGTGAGTCCTCTCACCCTTCTCACTTCTAGCCTGTACTCCAGTTCTGTATACATAAATAAATAAATCTTTTTTTTTTAAATATTGTAAAAATAAAAGAGCTCTTTACTATACAGAGTACTATATTTTTTCAGACAGGCAGAAATTATGTATTTCCTGATAGAAATAGCAATACCATCACATAGACAGTAATCTTGTAAAACAAACAACAAATTTAGGCTGTGATCTTATTACAAACCTACAACAATTACAGAGGAAAGCAATGGGGTTCTGTGAATTGAAAAATTACTGTGGGCCCTGTCGGATGGCACAGCACTATGAAGCTAAAGCCACTTCAGCACGAGTTCTATCCCT